TTAGTTTGATGCTCTCAAGTTGATCAAGCCAACAAGGAAGTTCTTCACACACACACACACACACTCAATACTCCAGAAGCAAGAAGCCAAGAGAAGATAAGCTAACAAGGCCCAAAGTGGAAGTGAAGGCTAAGGTTGAAAAGCAACTCTCACGTGTACATTGTTGTTGGAATGCTACATCAAAAATGCTCATCTTAGTAATAGTCATTGCTGCAATTATGGTGCCGAATTCATGCAGACCAATCAATCAATATCTTCTTTGTTACTCGGGGACGAGCAACGTTTTGAGTTTGGAGTGTGATAACTCTCCCAAATGAGAGTTAATTTATTATTTTTATGATGAATTTGTTGCATAAATTCCATATAAAGTGTCTTAATTGCATAATAATTGAGCTAAATGTTGCATATTCATGATTAAGTGCTTTGAGATGACTAAGTATGAAAAATGAGATAATATTCCTTGATTTTGTGTAAGAAAAGATGACTCGTTAAGTTTTTGTCTTCGTAGGAAAAATTGACGTAGGAATGCTGTAGCAGAGAAGCTGACGAAGTAATGATATAGCAAGCGCTACAGCATGACAGCGTGGACAAAAAGTCAACCGAACTTTTGAAATTCAAAAGTTAGTTAATCCCCAACAATGCACCAGCAAGCAAGGGAAGTTTCTAAAGATTTAATTCAGAAATCACAAGAGTCAAAGACAAATTCAAAGATTGAATCTTATCCAAATCCCAAAGAACAAGGACAATAACCTTGATTCGGTCAACAACATTGGCACAAGAAATCCAAGAAGATAAAGAACTTATCCAAATAAGTGCCAACAAATCCGAAAATCCCAAGAATCAAGGACAACAAACTCAGCTCATACTCGGTCAACAACAACATTGGCACAAGGATTCTAAGAAGATCAAGATTATATCCAAGCAAGTGACAATAGCCCAAGAATCAAGGATACGATAAGGCTGCAGCAACCGGATTCATGAATCTCCATTCTTAATTCCTAAAGTTCAAAGCCCAACCATTTTTCGTGTTTAAGAAGAGCTCCTCCACGAGTTAAAACATAGTTCGAAACACAGTTAGAGAGGTTCAAGGTTCAGAAGGTCAGAAGCAAGGAGGAGAGTTTTTGAGGGAGATAGTGAGGTTCTTGGAAGAGGAAGAGCAACGCTGGAGCAGTGCTGGAGCAAGGCAGTGACGACGTCTTCTTACAACAATTGTTTTCAACTTCTTTTCTGTTTTCCAATGAATTCTTTCTTTCTTTTCTGTGTTTTATTTAATTCCATTATGAGCTAAATTGCTCCATAGGTTAGGTGATAAAGTACCTATGCTGTAACATTGATATGTATGCCTAAACTTTTTTTTATGTTAATGTTTAATTAGTTATTCAACGAGTTTTCTTAATCTTATTCATGTGTGTATGTCGAGAGATACATATGTGATATTGAGGAGGTTGGGGCCGAGAGGTTTCAGAATCCAGACCCTTGTTGAATATTGTGGATTAATCGAGTTAAATTAACTTAATTAAGTTGTGGGTAGAGAGATCATTCACACCACATAACCTAGAACTTGAACTTAACCAATTCAGTGATTAGTTTGGCCATATAGATATGGGAATTAGTTATTGGGTATATATGTTAGGTTGGCCAAAAGCCCCAGCATGCATTAGTGTTCGGTTACTAGTTAAACATCGATATAGCATTGTTAAAGCATCAGATCAGTATTGCTGTATCAGGGAAATTGATCCTGACCTATATCTCATCCATCATCTTAATACCTATTACTTTAGTTTCTTGTTTTCTTATTATTAGTTGTCTTTTATTTTACCAAACCAACCATCACAATCAATCATTTTACTCACTTTCTTCACCTAAATAATCATTACTTAACATTTATCTCCGTGGGAACGATACTTGGACTCACACATTCCTTTATTACTTGTGACACGTGCACTTGCGTATTTGTGTGGAAGATTTAAATTGATTACAAATTGCACAACAATACCCGGGTAGGGTTGATTTTTCAAAAAAATACCCGGGTATGGAGTGGGGTACCCGGGTAGGTTTCTTGGTCAACGGTCAAACAAGAGCAGATTGGTATTATGTTTTTTTGAAGGGTTAATTTTTTGAAATAGTTTCTAATCGAGGGTAATTTGGTAAATAATTATTAATAAAGGGCTAAAGTGGTCAAAAAGCCCACATACTTTTATGTGTGTAAGAGATAATTTTATCTCCTCCAACATGAGAGACATTAAACTCTTCTTTGATTCATTGCCTTCCTAGAATAACTTCATACTGAATCTTAGATACTGAATAACTTAAGTGATGTTTGCCTCAATAATTATTTTAGTTACGACATTGTCAAAACTTGTCTAAATTGCTAAACTTATATATTTCACTGTTAGATGAGGTTAAATCAATGATTTTATATATTCTAACACGCTCCCTTGCACGAGGGCCCACTTAGCTTGAAGGATGAACAATGTACAAGCTCACCTACCTATGCTAAACAATTTCACGAGAGAAAGTGGAGGCGATGAGGATCGAACCCGGGACATATGAAGCTCTGATACCATGTAAAGAACCAATTCAATCCAAAATCTTAAAGTGTTGGGTGATGCCTTTTTAATGGTTATATTATTCTCTAACACATCCCCTCATGCAAGAGCTCTTTGGGCTTGAAGCATGGATATTACACAGGCCCATTTTTTTGTTTTACCTTGTATTTATTTTATTCCACTGGAAAGTGGGGGCGGTGAGGATCGAACTCGTGACCTTGTAGTCACTCAAGCTCTGATAGCATGTAAAGAACCAATTCAACCAAAAATCTTAAGGTACTAGATGAGAAGTGTTTTAAAACCCACCCCGCCCCCCGGGTTGACCCGGGTCAACCCTGACCCCTCCCCTCTAAGGGTTGGGGTCACAAGTTGGACCCTATATGCACATCAAGCCCTCCGACCCCCTAAAACCCTCGGGTTTCAGTGACTCCCTGGTCAGAGGAGTCAAAGGGGGTCATTGCATATTTTTTTTTTTTAAAGAAAATTGCTTAAAACAACGTCGTTTATTACAAAATAAAATCTTCGAAACCTAAATCTATCGTTCTTTGATTCCCTTCTCTCCCAGCTAGACGGCTAGTCGTCTTCATCCTTCAATCACCGTTCTGAATCTCCGTTGTGAATCGCTCAAGTCAAGGACGTGAGGATAAAGGGTGTGAGCTAAGGATCTTGAAGGAAATAGGTAAACTATGAAATCCTTGTTCCTCTTCCCTTTATACTTCGGTTAAGGCTGTTCCAGCCTTATTTTGATTTATGCAGTGAATTTTTTGATAGTGATAACATTTTATGACATGATTAAGATGAAAAATGATGATTGATTTAATGTGAGGATGAGCTTGTGGCTGACCTGAAATAGCCCTTTTGTTCTAATTGTTATTTTAAATTATTTGATGGCATTACTGTGTTGGGCATCGACTACCCTTGTTGGCCATCAATGGTGGCATTTCAAGTTCAACTTGAGTTGAGTGCAGGCTAAAAAAGTGATTCCCTCACGAAAAACTTGGATTAGATAATGTGTAGGAGAAGCAATCACTGGTTGTTGTTATACACAATTACACATAGAAGAGAACAAATTAAATAAACCTATAAGCCCATTTGTCCTCTGTTTTATTATGTTAAGCATCACGTAGCAAGTCTTTGCACAACCATGGAATGATGGGAATGAAGCATATATGAATGTAATTGTAATATAACTTTTAGGAATTAAATTAAAAATAAAATATGTGACCAGCCAAGGCTATGTCTTTCCATCGTGCCTATATAAATGTTTATGTTATTAATGATTTGATGTGGATTAATTTTCAGCAAGATGTCATCCAATGAACTTAATTCAACACCAGCTGAAGATGTGTCGTCCCAAAATTCCTCCAAACCAAATTGTAGGGGAAAGCAAGATCCAAGTTGGGGTCATTGTAGACAGGTTATGGAGAATGGAAAAAAAATTTTAGTATGCCAGTATTGTAACAAGACTCTTAAAGGAGGTGGTATTAATCGGTTAAAAAATCATTTGGCGGGAGAAAAAGGGCATTTGAGCCATGCAAGAGTATGCCACCTGAGGTGCGGGCTGAAATAAAAAAAAAATTGGATGAGGGTAAACAGAAAAAAAAAAAAAAAAAAGTCATACATGAAGAAGAAAGTGAAACTATTGAGTTTGGTGACCAAATAACACCTCCTGAAAAAAGTCGTCCACCTTCCAACTCTGAAAAAGGGAAGAATCCCATAGGTTCTTATTTTCTTCAAAGAACAACTCCTGGATCTCAATCCACCGTAAAAAGCGTGTTACAGAGTAAAGAAGTGATTTGGAGAGCTCACAAATCTATATCGGAATGGATGATTATTTCTTCACTCCCATTTAATGCTGCCAACAATCCTTCTTTTCAAGAAATGTTTGATGCTGTTTGTAGTTTGGGTGCAGGTTTTAAAGCTCCATCAATGTATATGTTGCGTGGTCCATTGCTAGATAGTTGGGTTGATGATGTTCATAGTCTTGTTGAGAACTATCGTAATGTTTGGCGGCAAATTGGATGCACTATTATGGATGATGGTTGGACTGATCGGACTAGGCGGACTCTTATCAACTTTCTTGTTTATTGTCCTAGAGGAACTATTTTCTTGAAGTCTGTGGATGCCTCTCATGCTTCCAAAACTGCTGATTTATTATTTAATCTATTCAAAGAAATTGTTCTATTTGTTGGGCCTGAAAATGTTGTTCAATTCGTGACTGATAATGCTTCTAATTATGTTGCTGCTGGAAGGTTATTGGAGGCTGAGTTTTCCACAATATTTTGGTCTCCTTGTGCTGCTCATTGTATTAATCTGATGTTGAAAGATATTGGCAAGTTAGAGGAAGTGGGTGCAACCGTGGCACATGCTTCATCAATTACCAAGTACGTATATAACCATTGTCATCCTTTACCCTTGATGAGAAAATTCACTTGTGGTAGAGAAATTCTTCGTCCAGCTCTAACTCGCTTTGCTACTAATTTTATTGCTTTGAAAAGCATATTAGCTCAAAAAGATCCATTAAGAGCAATGGTAACTTCAAGAGAGTGGACAAGTTCAGCATATTCTAAGGATTTGAAGGCTAGAAAATTTGTGGATTTAGTCTTAGATTCTAGCTTTTGGAAAGAATGTGCTGACATTGTGAAAGTTACTGAACCACTTATACGCTTGTTGTGTCTTGTTGATAGTGAAGACAAGCCTTCTATGGGTTATCTTTATCAAGCCTTTTATAAAGCAAGAGAAGATATGGTTAGATGGTTTCAAAGAAAGAAAAAGAAGGCCGAGCCGTACTTGAACATCCTGGATAGTCGGTGGGATACTCAGCTTCGTAAAAAATTGCATACTGCGGGATATTGGTTAAATCCAGCATGTCATTTCAATGTTGAAGAATTCAATAAACATGCATTGACAACTTCTGGTCTTTTAGATGTTATAGAGAGGTATGCTCATAAGGATGAGGAATTATTGTCCAAGTTAACATCTTAGTTGAGAACTTTCAATGAATCTGATGGTGATTTTGGAAGGAACATAGCTATTCGGGAATGAACTAAAGTTATGCCTGGTAAAATAATTTATGATTAGTATGTACCTTTAATTCTTGTTATAGTTGAATGATTGAATACTAATATATTTTATTGCTTACAATGTTTCAGATAAATGGTGGGAACTTTATGGTTTTGGTGCACCAAACTTGAGACAATTGGCTATTCGTATCTTAAGCCAAACTTGTAGTGCTTTCGGTTGTGAGCGAAATTGGAGTGCATTTGGGCAGATCCATTCAAATAGGAGAAATCGGTTAGAGCAAAAAAGGTTGAATGATCTTGTATATGTTCGATACAACCTAAGACTACAACAAAGGTATTATAATTTATATGTACATGTTTCCAAAAAAAAAAATTATACATACATTGATTGTTTATTTTCTTTTAGACAAAGTTATGTTTATATTTGTTGATGTTGAATATTGGAAAAAATAGGAATCAATTGAAGCACCAAAATTATAACCCAATTAATTTGGAAACTGTAAAGAACCAATTCAACCCAAAAGCTTAAGCTGTTGGGTAAGGCTACATTAATGATTTTATATATCTCAACACGCCCCTTCACACGAGAGTTCACTAGGCTTGAAGGGTGGACGATGCACAGACCCACCTACCTGTGCGAAGAAAGAAATTCCACTAGAAAGAAAGTGGGGGCGGTGAGGATCAAACCTGGTACACCGAGGCTCTGATACCATGTAAAGAACCAATTCAACCCAAAAGCTTAAGCTTTTGGGTGAGGCTACATTAATGATTTTATATATCTCAACAACTTGAAAAAGGGTATTCTAATATATTATAGAATTGTAAATAATCTGTACAAAGGGTTCTCTATTTATAGAGAATATTTGACCTAATTTTAACCTAATGGGCTTGGCCCAATACAACAAATAAATGACTAAATAATAACTAAATAATTATTATTTACAACACTCCCCCTCAAGCTGAGGAATAGATATTTATCATTCCCAGCTTGCTAGTAAGTTCTTGAAATCTGTCTGAAGGAAGCCCCTTTGTTAATAGATCCGCTAATTGACGCCCAGTGGGAATGTATGGAGTGGTAATCAACCCGCTATCAAGTTTCTCTTTGATGAAATGGCGGTCAACCTCAATATGTTTAGTCCGATCATGTTGGACTGGATTATGAGCTATACAAATAGCGGACTTATTATCACATAGCAGCTTCATAGGTTTCTCACATTTTATTTTGAGATCATCAAGTACAATTTTCAGCCACAGTAACTCACAAATGCCTTGAGCCATAGCTCGAAATTCAGCTTCTGCACTTGATCTGGCAACCACATCTTGTTTCTTACTTCTCCATGTCACCAAGTTACCGCAAAGAAACATGCAATAACCAGTGGTAGAACGACAGTCAGTCACGGATCCAGCATAATCAGCATCTGTGTAGACTTCTAAAGATAGATTGCCATCGCGTCGGAATAACAATCCTTTACCAGGAGTACCTTTAAGATACTGAAGAATTCTCTCTACTGCCTGCATGTGTTTTTCTTTTGGATCGTGCATAAACTGACTGACAACACTAACAACATAAGCTAGGTCTGGTCTAGTATGGGCCAGATATATCAATTTCCCAACTAGCCGTTGATATTGTCCTTTATCAACTGGAGGACTCCCTTCTTCATAGCCCATCTTGTGATTCTGCTCAATAGGAGTATTAGAGGGTTTACACCCGAGCTTTCCTGCTTCTTTGAGAAGATCAAGAACATATTTCCTTTGGCTGATAAAAATTCCTTTGCTTGAATGAGCTACTTCTATCCCTAGGAAATATCTCAGTTTCCCAAGGTCTTTGATTTCAAACTCAGAGGCAAGCCGTGTTTACAGAATCTGTCTCTCCACAAAATCATCACCTGTGATAATAATATCATCAACATATACAAGGAGCACACCCATTTTGGGAGTGCTTGAAGAAAAGAGTGTGATCTCCTTGGCTCTGTCTGTATCCTAAGGTCATCATAACCTTAGTAAATCTTCCAAACCAAGCACGAGGAGACTGCTTCAATCCATACAAGGCCTTTTTTAATCTACAAACTTTATTTTCCCCTTCACAGAATCAAAACCAGGCGGGATTTCCATGTAGACTTCTTCTTCTAACTCACCATTGAGGAAAGCATTTTTCACATCAAATTGATTTATATCCCAATTGTAATGGGCAGCAAGGGATAACAAGATTCTCACTGTATTCATCTTTGCAACTGGAGCAAAGGTTTCTTCATAATCAATGCCATAGGTTTGAGTGTAACCTTTGGCCACTAATCGAGCCTTATATCTCTCAAGAGTGCCATCAGAATTATATTTCAGGGCATAAACCCATCTGCACCCTACTGCTTTCTTTCCGTTGGGTCTATCAATAACCTCCCATGTTTTATTTTTCTCCAAAGCATTCATCTCCTCTTGCATGGCTTGAGCCCAATTCCTATCTTTCAAGGCTTCATGTACTGATTTTGGGATTGCAATAGAATCTAGTGCTGAAACAAAGCTTTTGTGCTGCACAGAAAGATTAGCAGAGGAAACAAAATGGGAGATAGGGTATTGAGTACAAGAGGGACAGGAGGAACAAGTTTTCTTGTGACAAGATCTTTTTCCTTTTCTAAGAGCAATAGGTAAGTCATCAGAAGTAGAAGCAATAGGTAAGTCATTAGAGATATCAGAAGAAATAGACAAATCATGAGAGGAAATAATATTAGAATCAGAAATAGGAGATTCAGGAGACTCAGAAGAAATAGGATATTCAGGACTTACCAGTGGTTCAGACGATTGAGGTTGCTGGTGAGACAGTATGGGTTGTATCTCAAGTGTATTTGAAGGTTCTGACACACCAAGAACAGACACACTAGGAAGAGAAAAGATTGATCCAGACTCAAAGAAGGAAGGGGACGAGTCTTCTGAAGAACTATTCTCCCCCTGACAATGAAGACCCAGGAAATAAGATTCAGATTCTTGAAAGGTGACATCCATAGAAACAAAAAAATTCGGACTTGGTGAATGATAACACTTGTACCCTTTTTTATAAGGGTTATAACCAAGGAAGACACACTTAAGAGCCCTAGGATCCAACTTACTCCGATGTTGTTTATGAACATGGACAAAGGCAACACATCCAAACACTCTTGGTGGAAGGCTCTGCAATATGGGAACAGAAGGAAAGAAGGAAGTCATGGAATGAATAGGACTGATATTGTTAAGGACCCGTGAAGGTAAACGGTTGATCAAAAAAGTTGCAGCTAATACTGCTTCTCCCCAATAAGAACTAGGAACAGATGTTTGAAAAAGTAGTGCTCTAGCAACTTCAAGAAGGTGATGATTTTTCCTTTCAGCAACCCCGTTTTGTTGAGGGGTATCAACACATGTGAGCTCATGAATCATACCTCTGTCTGAAATGAATTGTGACAGGCGTTGATTGACGTACTCAGTACCATTATCAGATCTGAGTCTTTTAATACCCTTACCAAACTGAGTCTCAACCATGTGATGAAACCGAATAAATATCTCTGGTACTTCAGACTTGTCTTTCATCAAGTATATCCATGTTATCCGAGTACAATCGTCAATAAAAGAAACAAACCACCTTGCACCTGAAACACTGTGCACTTTAGAAGGGCCCCAAACATCAGAATGGATAAGAGAAAAAGGTTCCCTGCTTTTAATAGTGCTAGAAGGAAATGACACTCGATGGTGTTTTGCAAATTCACAAACATCACAATGAAAGGTCTCAACCGACTTATTGAGAAACATAGAGGGGAACATAGACTTCAAAAGACTAAATGATGGATGCCCGAGACGCTTGTGATGGAGCCAAATCATAGACTCTGCAGTAGAAGGATGACGTGCCATTAATAACTGATTTTTGCTAGCATGGTCTGGAAGGAGATGAAACAACCCATCCTGTTCATTAGCAACTCCAATTGTCTTCTTCGTGGTAAGATCCTGAATAAGACAATGAGAAGGAAAAAATGTGATAGAACAATTCAAATCAGTTGTAAGTTTTTGAGTGGAGATAAGATTAGTAGAAAGCTGAGGAACATAAAGAACATTTTTAAGAAACAAGGAAGGTTGAATTTGAATGTTACCAGAACCAATAACTGATTTATGGTATCCATCAGCTACAGATATAGTACGACAAGCCATATGATCAGTTGCACCAGAATCCAAAATCCACGAGGTTTTAAAATCAGTGCAAGAAGCAAGAAGAGATGTAGAACGTGTGCTCTTACCAGATAAGATCGAAGAACTATCATGCTCGGCCATTCTTTAACAAAAAAAGTTAACAACCAGCGATAAAATCAACAAAACAGAATATCAAATGACCTCTGATCAGAAAAATAATTACAAATCTAGACAGAAGACAAGAAGAATGGTGGTGGTCCGGTCCAAAAACACGGCCGCACGCGCCTCCACGCGCCGGAGAAAGGAGCTGCGCGTGGGATTCACTCGCCGGGAAAGGGGCGGCGCGTGAGAGCGCGTGGATGGGCTTCGCCGGCTGAGATTTTTCTGGTGTGGTCGTCCGGTGAGCACGCACCTGTCTGTGGGTGGTCGCGGTTGAAAAGTCGCCGGAAAGTGGTCCAAACGGTGAAGACATATCTGATTGGAGGCGGTCGGAGGTGTTTCGGTCGTTTGTGGCGGAGGAATAGTGCGTAGAATGATAGATCGGAGGAAAAATAAGGTCAACAATGGTCCCCTTGGTCCAAAAGGTCCCCGGAAAATTTTTCCGGTGGCGGCTGATGGCGGCAAGAGGCAAAGAAATTAGGGTTTTGTTAAAAAAGAAGATAATATGTGCGGAAGCAAAGCCCTCAGATCGAGAGCTCTGATACCAACTTGAAAAAGGGTATTCTAATATATTATAGAATTGTAAATAATCTGTACAAAGGGTTCTCTATTTATAGAGAATATTTGACCTAATTTTAACCTAATGGGCTTGGCCCAATA